ACCCTCAAAGAGAATGAAGAACATACAGAATAAAACATATAGAAACATGCATTCCATAGTTAGACATGCTGATGTAAACATGAATAGGGGTGAGATCTCCAGGGATAAGTCAACAAGAGTTAGTGGGGAAATCTGACTCACACTAGTGAATTTTCCAAGAGAAGGTTTATTTTTAACTTTTAGAGGAGTGAAAATGCAGGTGTTTGGGCAGAAGGATAGTAGAACTGATGGTGGAAAATTAGTAAGTGGAACAGGTACTGTATTACATTGGAGGATAAGTACAGTATGCCTCCCCAAAGCACACAGCTGGGGAGGGACAATTTGCCTTATCAGCAGCTGGAGTCATATTCTAGACCAGAGGACAGTCTCATTGTTTCAGGATCTTCCTTAATTCTAATCCATCCCCCTCTCCCTATAGTCGTCAAAACCTGGAGGAAAACCAGTCCTTTTCTACTGGGGTCCCAGGAGAGAACCTTTATATATAATACATGAGCAGGTTTAAGGCTGAACAGCTGAGAATCAACTACACCTGCACATCATAATGATACCACCACCCTACTACCCCAGGCCTGAAGGGCCTGAAGGGCCAGAGTAAATGAGTAAGGTTCTGGAACCCCATAAAGCCATCTGCCTTGGAAGCGGAGCCACCCAACAAGAGTCAAGGCTACCTGTAGAAACCAGGGTTTGGCAGCCAGGGAGCCAGAGGGATGAATACTTTGAACCCTCCATCCTCATCCTCTCATCCTTCCATATCCTGCTGGTGCCTCCCTTGGCCAAGCCCAATCAAGAGCCAGAGGATGGGAGAGTGCAGTTAGGCAGTGCATGGATTCAGTGCAGGAAACTGAAGGAATCTGAAAAGCCATATGGAGAATATCCTACACAACACTTTGAAAAATATCCCATTTGTTTATTACCGCAAGGCCCCCATCTTAGCACTTTCCAATTATTGCGTTATTTAAATTACATGACACATTACAAGTAAATACATGCATGCATGTGTAAGTGCATATGGGAGTACACACACACACACACACACACACAGATGCACACTCACAGGCTACTTAGCTTTGGCTGTGCAGCAGAATTTCTGCAGCCTCTATTAGTGCTGCTTTGAGGGAAAGACAGCCCACTGCCACCAAGAGCTAAATTATTTTGGTAGGTGTTAATATTACAGCATTTTAAAAAGCTGAGGCAGAAAATAGTACTAATTAGTGTGCAGCATTCTCAGCTCCAGGCTGTTGATAGGGATGGAAGACAGGAGCCTTTGCTGCCGTTCTCAGTTCTTCTCCGTCACTGACTGTGTGGGTGATGTGCAAGCAGGAGCAGGTGGCAAGCTCTCTGAAAACAGGATTAAAGTGTAAAGGCCTATACAGCCTGGGAACCAGGGGAGCACCTGTGTTTTGTCCAATCGTCAGGTGGTTGGAAAGGAGCCCTGCCTGGTTCACTTTCATATTTGGGGAAGAATACAGAATCAGAAGTATATGGCCCTAGTCTTCAGACCACGTGAGATGTAGCTAAAAAGACATATTCCTGGGGCTGGCGTTGTGACATAGCAACTAAAGCTACCACCTGCAATGTCAGTATCCTATATGGTGCTGAGTTGTCTCCTAGCTGTTTCACTTAGATCCAGCTCCCTGATAATGATCTGAGAAAAGCAGCAAAAAATGGCCCAAGTGTTTGGGTCCCTACACTCATGTGGGAGACCCAAATGGAACCCCTGGATCCTGACTTCAATTTTATTGAGCCCTAACCATTGTAGCTTGTGCTGGCTTCCTGTTAGATTGTGTGGTTGTAGACATTATGCACAGTGCTGCACATCTGAAATACTACACTATTATTACTGCATAAACTTTAGTTTTAAGTACTTACAAAGCCCATTTAAAATCAGGAAATGTGGTTTAGAATCATTCCCACTCATTGTTTTCCGGTTGAATTGTTTTCTCTTTTCTCTTACACATATCCAAATCTCCCCAATGAAGATTCAACATCTTCCCTAACAGTTTGTGAGCTCCGGATTGCAAGAGGTATTCTGATTCCTGATATTCCATTTGCAAAGCATACTTTATATACTAAAGCAATATCTCCAGGAACCTGCACATCTGAGATTTTCTTTTAACCTTGGAGATTCTGTGAAACTAATTAAGCTTTTGGCGTAACTTTGCCCCACCCCCAGTTGCATTTGAGACACCATCCTGCTTCCCATCCTCATCAGTATCTCCTTCACCAGGATGGCTTCTGCACCTGTCTGTGTTTCACATTCTCCTCTCATAACTCTCCCCCTAGTGCTCAAACTTATTTTTCATGTGCTCCCTACAAATACATCACAGAAACCGATGCCACATTGACACTTGTGCACATGATGATGAATGGAGCCCCTGAGAGTGATGACAACACTCTCCTACATGCCTCATTCATTCTGGAGACCCTCAAGTCTCTCATCTGCCCATGCATGCACCGCTGTCACGCAGAGCCCCCCAGGTTGCTCATTACACTGATCTGCAAGATGATCCCCTCAATTCTATCTTGTGGTGTTTGTCTGAGGTCATAATAGCAGGGTATATTTATATCAAGCTATTCAGATTATAAAGGCTTTGTGGGGGGCTGGAGCTATGTACAGTTGATTAAGCAGCCACTTAAAATGCCAGCATCCCATATGAATGCCGGATGGAGCCCAGCTGCTCCACTTCCAATCTAGCCCTCTGTTAATACCTTGGCAAAGGAGCAGAGGACAGACCAATTGCTTGGGCCCCTTCACCTATGTGGGAGGGGAGAACTGGAACAAGCTTGTGATTCCTAGCTTCAGCCTGGCCCAGTCCAGTTCATTGCAACAATCTGGCCAGCTCTTTTTCTTTCTCTAATTCAGTCTTTCAAATTAGGGGGCACCCGTAAGTACATGCTTTGAAAAGTAAGGGCTTTGCAGGAATGATTTACATGACAGTTTTGCTGTGTGTAGTAGCATTGTGATGATCTTCCATTTTATAGATGATAAATTAAAGATTACAGTAGTTCTCAATCAAGGATGATTTGGCCGCAACGGGGGACTAGCAATGTCTAAAGACACTTCTAATTGTCGTAAGATGAATATGGCAATGTGCCTGGCACCTTATAGAAAGAAACCAGGGGTGCTATACAACAACCTTGGGACCTAGCATGTTATGGTGTTGTGTATGGATGATGGCATCCCATATAGTGCCAGTTTAAGTGCCATCTTTTTTGCTTCCAACCCAACTCCCTATAAAACATGTGGAAATCAGCGGAAGACGGGTTTGGGCCCCTTCCTGTCACATGGGATACCTAGATGGTTTCCCTGGCTCTTCCACCTTGTCCAATGCTGGCCATTGCAGCCATTGGGAAGTGAACCAGTGGATGGAAACATCCCCCCACTTCTTTCTCTTATCCATAACTCTCTCTGTAGATACCTCTTAAATAAATGAATAAATCTCTTTTAAAAAATTCTACCATATACAGGATATCTTCCAACAAAGAAAAAGTGAGTGAATTCATATATCAATAAGGTTGAGGAAACATTTGAAGGTCCTTAGTCTTGCTTACAGATCCAGGATTCTGAATCTAACACTGGATTCAACTCTAGACCATCTGTCACTCTTCTGTGATCCTGCTGTGACTGGTACCTGGGGGAATATAACATTCATATTTATTATGTGTCTGCAGAAACAGAACAGCACACTTCCTTCAGGAATTGGGAGTGAAGCTTTCTCTGGTCCTTACTTAGTGCCAACTTTGCATCCCCACCCTCTCTTGCAATGACCATCAGGGCTGCTCCAAAGCCCCTCTCCCCCGCAAAAAAAATTAGATTAAATAAATAGAGAACAACAAGGAAAGCTTAGTACCAAACAGGAAACATTTAGCCTGGACTCACATATACCTTACTAGGTAGGATAAAAACATAAGTTACTCCTCACTAAAGTATTGAAGATTTCTCTGTACACCCCTCCTAAAACTGTTCTGCACCTCCACTGTTGACATATGCCTTGTTAGAGTTATAAGCCAACATGGACTATCCCAAAATCCACCACGTTCAGTAAAAATTATGCTTTAACATTATAAACTACTAAATACAAAAAATGAAAACAGATGTGACAGCTGAATAGTACCCTAGAGCCATTTTAAGATGTATAGCAGCCAGTTGTATATAAACGAAAATTGAAATGCCAATGAAGTAATCACAGATGTGGTTAAGAACTTGCATTTTCTAACATATTGGTCACTCAATACCATGTCATTTAACTCCATAAGGTTGTAAACAGTTGTTGATGTTATGTTGTGGCTTTTAATTGGTCGGGATGATATTCTGCCAGCTCTGCCTTCAGACCAGAGATGGTCTCCCCAAGAAACAGTTGAATTTATCTGGACAACAAGATGCTGGATACTATGCAAAGTACATGCTTGCAATCAAAGAATTATGATTGGATTTGAACTGTAATACTGCAACAAAGTGGAGAAATCCACCATGGGGAGGGAGAGGGTACAGGGAGGGGTTGGGGGAATTCTTAAAGCCTATGAAACTGTGTTATAAAATCAAATGTAATAAAAAAAAAAAAAGACACTGGGCTGAGAACTTAAAAACTATGCAGTTGTGCAAAAATCTGACTTCTATGTCTTCCTCGTATTACTTTGGTGCTTTGGGCTCACTGCCTGAATATTTTTAAAATTCTAGAAAGAGCGTTGGAGAGCAGATACAAGAGTTTGCTAATTGGAAGGGAGTAGGACAGAAAAGGATGAGATGCTAAGAGAAGAGGGACAAACCTGCTGCTCCCAGGGTTTCTCGTGTAAAACATTTCTGGTGGATGTGAAGTAGTTGGTTTTTATACACTATCGGCAAAGTTGTTCTTTCTCCAGGGAGTTTCTTCAGTGGACATGTTCCTCACATATTCCTTGAATTCCACCTTAAAATAAGCTGATTATACTTACAGCCAGTTTCTCAGCGTGGAAAACTTTTGTTTAAGCAATGACACACTGCAGTTGGATCTTTTCCCCCTACATCTGGAAGCCACATGTCTGTTGCAGCTGCATAAAAGTCAGCCCAGCAGACCTAGGGTGATATTGTTTTGCCAAGAACCCAGGAGGCATGGACCTCTCTCTCTTGTGGGCACTTCTGCCCCTGATCACCACGGCCTGGGGCCAGTATGGTGACTATTATGGATACCCATACCAGCAATACCAAGACTACAGCGATGATGGGTGGGTGAATCTGAATCGCCAGGGCTTCAGCTACCAATGTCCACATGGGCAGGTGGTGGTGGCTGTGAGGAGCATCTTCAGCAAGAAGGAAGGCTCTGACAGACAGTGGAACTACGCCTGTATGCCCACACCCCAGAGCCTCGGGGAGCCCACGGAGTGCTGGTGGGAGGAGATCAACAGAGCTGGCATGGAATGGTAAGGAGCTGCCGCCACACTGGGGTTGGGGACATCTCAGTGTCCTGAGGGATGTTAGACTCTCAGGGAACAATAGGACCTAAAGCCAAGCCGGGGCATACGCAACCCCCTATTGGCTTGGCATTGCATGTTCTGGGTGGGGCAGAGCTGATGCAGAGGAAACAACATCAGAGGACAAATGTTGAGGCTCGGGGTTGTCTGCAGCAGATGGGCTGCTCTGGGGTTCTGCTCCTTCTGGATGCAGCTTGAATCTCAGTGGGACCTAGAGGATGATGTGCATCTGTGCAATGTTTATCAGACTGCAAAGCGATAAGTATAGAAATTGAGACTATTTAAGAAACTATAGTAATTTAACATTGCTGTGACAACCAAATGTCATTTTTATTTTGTAGCAATTTCTTTCTCCTGCTTTACACAGATGTGGGTACACAACAGTTTGGGGAAAGCAAACAGGCCCTCAGCACAGAAGTATGAGAAATATTGATTTAGAAGCAGTTCTTGGGGAGAAGAAGACAAAGCAATAGAAGCAGAAAGAAGTAGAATTGAACGATTCTCTGCTGACTTGTTAAAATGTGCCCTCTTCATTTTGAGACTTAAGATTCTTCTCTGTGCTGGAATTTAAAGTAGCTGCCACGACTGGAAACATTTCCTAAAAGTATTTAGACAGAACCCTGCCTTTGCCTGACTGCACTCTGCACTAGTTGGTGGCACACACTTGGTTGAGCTTACACTTCTGTTTGGAGTGTGATTTCTAAGAGGTCTCAGCCTCACAGCTGGCGCAGGAGTCCATCTCTGTAGCCTTTCACAGCTTGCCTGGTTTATTTACAGCAACCGGGATGGAACCTGGACTGCAGAGGCTTGGAGGAGAGAGTAAAGTGAAGCCTGGAAGAGGTAGCAAGCCCTGCTGCAGGTTGCTGCGTGTGCTATCTGTGCAGCCAGACACATGGGACTTTAAAGAAATCCAAGAGGCATTTGGTAGACTGGATGTTGGGAGTGATGAGGCTTAGGCTGAGGGTAACACAGTCAGAAATGTAAACAATGGCAGGAAGACCAAACAGAAAAAAATCCTGGTGGGTGGAAGAGCCAGAGCAGAGAGGTGGGGCCTCTAGACAACAATGCAGCTGTCTTGATTGAGTGTCTACCTTGAGCAGCCACTACGCTAAATCGTTTATTTGGATTAGTTCATGTCAAGCTGCGAACAAATTCACATTTTATAAAGAGAGGACCAGGGATTGAGATTAAATATTTCCTCCATTGGGAAATGGAGATTTGGTTCAAGAACCAGGCTTGGCTCCAACGAGTGGGTGTTAAGCAACCCGGACAGGTTTCTGAAAGCCTGCAGCCTTGACTCAATGTCAGCCCCCAGCTCAACAGCTGAGTCTATCCAGGCAACAGCCCCACATAGGCTAGATGTCTTTATCCTGGGAGAAGCTGGACTTTGCAAGAGCATGGCAGAAGCCTAGCTCTGAAGGGACTAGGGACGATATGATTTCATGACTGGGGGAAGGACTAAGCTAGCAGGGTCACATAGGCAATGAGGGGTAAGAGAGCTGAGATTATGGGTTGTTGGACAGCCTTTGATAAGTCATCCTCATCTATCCCTGCTGATTGAGGAAGCACACTCCCTGATCCCAAACTCCTCCAGACAGACAGCTGGCTCAAAGACCAGACACACTTGAGGAAAGTGCCCAAATACCCTCACACGCAGGTCCAGTGCCTAGAATTCAGGGTGGAAATGACCTAGTTCTCCCTCAAATTCCCACTTCTTCTTCATACCAGGGACCTCCATTCGGACAGAGGTCCCTTCCAGTATGTCTCAGTAGCATCACATTCAGCAATGATTTCTCCAGCTCTGAAGGAAGAGCCCCGACCTCTCAATCAGGACGCCCACATTTGGATCTGGTGAAAATGACATACAGAATGGCCTTAGCCCAGTCGCTTAGCTCCGTAGGCTTCCATTTTCCAAAATGAGAAATCAGAATGTGTGATCTCTGCAGGTGCCACAGAATTACAGTTCATTCTGAAGTTGTTCTTGGCTTTCTCATGCGTGCTATTATTCCTTGTTCCCCCCCGATATAAACAAGTGAAATCATGTTTAGTTTTATACTTGCCAATCAGTGGCTGATTCATCATGTACTCCCAAACTATCTGAAGGAAAGCGAAGCAGGAAAGGTGAAATGTCATGCTCTTGTTTGGCCCATGGGGAGTGAAATGAAAGACTGACAGGTCAGAGTCACTTCCGCTTTCTCTGCCTCTGCATCTTTGATGGGCAGCTTCGAGAAATTTCTCCTTTTCTGCTCTTCTGCCTCTCCTCCACTCCCAATGCATTCATAATCAGAGGATTGGGTAATCACAGCATGCCAAACTGTTTCTTTGCAATAGCATTCAGATGCCTGGGGACTGATACGAATTACCAGGAACGTGTTGTTTAGATGATTATGACTGAGTTCAGACTCTCATCTCGGGGGAAAAATCTGGAAGGAAAGAAATTGCTCATAGACTGGGGAGAAATTACATCTTCCCACTGGCTGCAAGTTCTTAATCTGTTCTGCAGGAGGAGTTGGTGATACTGTTGTACAGTTTGTCTGCCTTGTATAACAGGGTTTGTTTGAAGAGCGATAGGAAGGGAAGGACAGAAAATCCTGAACAGATATTGACAGCAGAGTTAGGATTAGCCAACAGAACCTGCTCATAGGGAACTCACTTTAGGAGGAGCTGCCATTTTGGCTGACTGTGTATGATGCTGCCGTTTGTCATAGCCTCTATGCTGAGACCCACATTTCAGCTACTTTATCTGCAGTGTGGATACTGGCCTCTGTGACTAACTGCTGCCAGAAGACTTTGCCTGGTTCCCCATGGCCTCTTACCATCTCAGGATACACCCATGTTATTCTTGGGAGATGTTCTCTAACTTGGGTTGGAAAAAAGCCAACATACAGTGGTCCTCTGTGGAGCAATAGGAAACTGGGCTATTCTATTGAGGCTAATCTATGTGTCATGTAATGGAAGTAGCATTGATCTTACAACGAGGTAGGCTTGACTCTAGCTCCTGGTTATGTCTTCTCTCAGCTTTGTGGCCTGGAGCATTCAGTTTTTTATTTGGGAAGAAAAAAAATGGATGCTCTTTTTATATGCTGCTAAAGGATGCTATTGTGACAGTGGAGAGCAGAAGAGATAAAAAAAAAATCTCAATCTAGAGCAAGCATCACAGTACGGTGTCATGGGACACTGGTGTCATCTACAACAACATTCTTATATCATATGTTAGGAATTAAAGCCAAGAAAAACAGGGAATTTGGCAAAACGATGAAGTCGTTACCAAAGTACAGGTTCTATATTGCTAACTCTCATTCATTCATTTATTCATTCACTGTTATATGCTTAATGTAACCAGCTTTGCCAGATTCTAGGAGTATTAAGATGAACTCAAAAGCGCTCTACCCTGGAGTGACTGTTGTTCTGTTCTCATTTAGTGTTCACAACAGGGAGAGAGGGAGACAGGCGTTAATTACTGTCTCCATGTACAGATGAGGAGATGGGGGGCTCCCATTCATGTCAGTGAATGTTAAAGGTAGAACTCAAACCAGTCTATCTGATGCCACTGAGCCACAGGTGGAATCACAATGTTATTTTTGGCCTTGAATGAAGTTGTAGCAAGTGCCGAGCTAAGAAAGACATCAAAAACCGTGGAAGAACTTCTAAGGGCAATAAGACAGAACAGGTTATGGCAGATCAGGGATTCTTGCCATCTATCCAATTAGGTCATTCTGCCAAGTACCAGGAATCAATTGTCTGGGGGAATTTGAGCTTTGGGGAAAAAAATGCTGGCTATACTTGCAAGAATAGCCAAAGCTCACTCCCCAGGGTGAAGGAGTTGCCAGACATAATGTTCCCAATCAATAATGTATTTCCACTGTGTTGGAATACTTTCCTCCATGTGGGGAGGTTTTGGAGGAGGGCCGGAATGGGGTTATTTGAGGTATCTTGAAGTTACAAAAGTCTGGTATCAGACTCTCAAAATGCAATCCCACTTACACCTTTGTGAAACTCCTGCTGACTGAGGAGATATAAGACCTACAAAGGCAATTCTCTAGAACTATGAGAATTAAATGCAATAATAGGGATATTTCAAAACATCTGTGGGAAAACGGGATCCAAAATAATTTGTTGGGGTGCAAAGAATTTTTAAACCCATGCTTACTTTTTATAGTACGTCTTTAGTGCATATATGGATAATAACTGTTGCAGGACCTTTATATATGTATACTGCTGACTGTATGTCCATAGCGAAATCACTTAACAACTCAATACCTGAATTTAGTTGCATGCAAAATGATGATGATGGCAGGAAGGTGAACGTACAAGTCAACCTCATACGATTGCTTTGATGATTCAATTGTCAATGCATACCTGGTGCCGAGCACAATGTTTGGCTCATGCTACGTCCCTGATAAAGATCATTCATGACTTCTATTACAACTGTTTTGTGCAAACTAAGGTTTGTGCATATGAGAACTATAGCAATGGTAGAAAATAAACCTGGGGCTGAAATCCAAGCTGCTTTGTTACAGCTTCTGAAACATACCGTTTTACTTTGAAGATGCATAATTCAGTCACAACTTCTAAATCTCAAACTTATATTATGCACATTTTAAAACACACTGAGGTAACATCGGATGTCCTGGTTAACAAACACTGTACTAACTGGCTTTGATGAATGGCTGTGCTCGAGCCTGCATGCCAGTAACTTTCTCTCAGCACATAAATATATCTTACAAGATCATCTGTATTTACTCAGAGGCCTTTAAGTGAGTTGTTGCCATCTGCATGCTTCCAAAACGAATAAGCAATGTGTGTTTGGAGAAGATGTTCTCCCTCTATGCTGTGCTCAGTCTTTTATGCAGGTCACTATCCAACAGGTCACTTGTGCCTCACTGTCAGAATCTGATAGACAAGCTAGCGGACTTAAACCCTGGATATGTATGGGAAGAGGATGTTGT